TGTTACGAAACTCGGTATGGGTCATCAGTACGATGCCCTGAAGAAGCCTGAGAAGTTTCGAAACAGCGCCACCTAGTGGTGAATTTTTTTTTTCAAACGCTTATAACTTTGGGTGTGGTACACTTATTTTCACGGGAGTCATCTTTTTGAGTTCCTGAATCGTTGCCGAGTCCAACGATACTAAACATGCTGGGTTTCGTGTTACGGTTGGTGTAGCGTAGCGATTTAGCGCGAAAAAAACACTTGGCGATATCTTCAAAACCGCTGTTCCGATCGAGACGAAACCACCGCCAGAAACACGGAATCATAGCTTGTTAACTATACGCTAATGCCCAAATGCGAAAATATTGATAGTAAGGGGTAGTAAAATTCAAACAAAGTCATGTGTCAGTCATTTTTTACGTGTTTTTTCATATAAATGTTTATAACTCGGAAGTGAATTGAGATATTTGCACCAAAATTGACACACATATGTATGGGGTCACTCTGAGGACACATAAAAAAAATTGTGGGACTGAGCCTCTTGGTGGCGCTATAATAGAACAAAACGTGAAATTCCCATTGACTTCAATAGAGTTTTGTGAAATAAAATGCTATACTAAACAAATGCATTGGTGTAATATTACAAAACTCAGTGTGTGCCATAAGCAGCATGCCCTGAAGGTACTCAAAAGATTTTGAGACAGCGCCACCTGTTGGTCAAAAGTTATAATTAATTTCTGAGAACGCTAATAACTTTTGAATAAATTTGCCTATTGCAATGAAACTGATCTAGATTCCTTCGGTTATGCCGAAAACATAGATATCAGGTTTTCCATAATCAGACAAACGTCCTGTTCGCCATTTTTATTTCCTTGGAAAACCTTCTTTTTCGAACTCCTCCTAGACCGTTTGTCCGATTTTCACGAAAATTGAATCGTATCATCTCCAGACCGTGCCGACTAAAAGTTAATGAATTGCACGATGATAGACAAAACCGTTTTCGTATACCACAGCATCGAAATTTAGGCATGCTGCCAAAATTACTATTTAGGCTTTATCTCTGCAATGCCTTCACATTTTGACACCAAACTTTGCATGTGTCATTGTCACCTCACTCTGACCACATCACATCTATTTCGTAACTGCGCCACCTATTGTTCGAAAGTGATAACCCATTAAATCATCTTATAAGTTAATGTTTATGTGATTTTCTTAGCCATTTGCCCAAAGTTCTCTCAAAATGCCCTTAATTGCTCCTTGCTGCAGTTGGTCTGCCACTCCTTGCCATTTTGGCATATGTTGCCGCTTCTTGCGCTTGGCCCCGGTAATGGCTGCTTGCAGCTATATTTGACATTTAAAGTTAGGGAAAAAAAACAGTCCCAGATGTATTTTGAGCTGTCCAGTCTATTATATATTATATCAGTTTGGTGGAATCAGTTTGAAATGAAGCCCACAGCAAGTGGCATCCAGCACGACAGCACACTTTAAATCAGGTGTTGCTCACTTTTATGCTAAGAACTAATCATTGAATCATACATTTAAACCCTTCAACTACTGAACAAGTTACTGTCAGAAACTTTCTTCTGCTAAGAGATTCCAGAAAATGCCAATTCATCATTCATTCTATGTTGTACTGTACTGGTATTTGTATCAAGCTATAGTTCATTCATAAATGAGATTCGCTCACTCACAACACCCACTCAATTGGAAAAAAAAAAACAAGGACTATTACATATCAAGCATCATATTATTTATTTATTTTTTTCTGAATTTTTTTTTTTTAAATAAGCATTTTGATATCTTTATCCATTTTGCTCACCTGCAGTAAAAAAAAGAGTTGCATTCCCCAAAGATTTTCTGTGATTTTATAGACTGCAAATTACATTTGGTTTCCAATCAGAAACCATGAGAGTGCAGTATTTGAGCTTGTGAGCTGGGGAAATTAAACATTGAAGGAGAAGGGTTTAAAAAGCTCAAGTTTCAATTACTCTTTTATTTTCAGATTCTTGCCATTCAGTAAGGTAGTAAAGGTACAGACATAGAGGGGGGGAAAACAAGAAATTGACCAGATGGCAGAGGACAAATGAAGCAATTTTAGCCTAGAATAATGGATGCCAGCCAAGCATCTGTGGTAATTCAGTCAATGTAAATACCACTTTCATGCCTGTCAGAACCCCAATGCATGTCTCTTATTTCCAAGTGCCAAAATAACACACATTTGTTGGGATATCCAATACAGCCATTCCCTCTCTGGTCTAAAGGACAGGCATGGTCCTAAAAGATTAAGTGATAGAAACTCACTCTAAAAATTCACTGTGGAGCTGACATGCAGAAAAAAAGTTCACATTTAACACTTTTTACATTCTTATAAAGGCTGTAAAATAACTTCTAACCCAACATTATATTTTACCAAAATGACACAACATGGTCACTGATTTAGTAATATAAAAATGGCAGCAGAAAATACTGTATAAACTTCTAAGCAAGCCATTTTTTTTAAATTACAGAATAATCATTTATACGACCTAATGTTTAGCTTATAAATATAGCCTATAAAATCTGAGTGTCAGAGAACTATTCTGAATAAAATATTTATAGTCAGTCTGAAATAAAGTCAGAGTCAGAATTTGGTGTAAACAACATAATGAGAACATGGATCCATCATGCCTTGTTGCCACTGTGCAGGCTGGTGGTGGTGGTGTAATGGTGTGGGGATGTTTTCTTGGTACACTTTATGCCCCTTAGTGCCAATTGGGTATCGTTTAAATGTCACGGCCTACCTGAGCATTGTTTCTGACCATGCCCATCCCTTTATGGCCACCATGTAGTCTGATGGCTATTTCCAGCAGGATAATGCACCATGTCACAAAGCTCAAACCATTTGAAATTGGTTTCTTGAACATGACAATGAGTTCACTGAACTAAAATGGCCCCACAGTCACCTGATCTCAACCTAATAGAGCATCTTTGGATGGTGGAACGGTAGCTTTGTGCCCTGGATGTGCTTCCTACAAATCTCCATCAATTGCAAGATGCTATCCTATCAAAATGGGCCAACATTTCTAAAGGATACTTTCAGCACCTTGTTGAATCAATACCACGTAGAATTAAGGCAGTTCTGATGGCGAAAGGGGGTCAAACCAGCCCATTCTCATCCTTTAACGTCATATAGAACGCTATATGCAAAAACGATGCTATACTACGCACATGGCACCCTTTATCGTTAATATAACACGCGAACCCAAACCCCTAAACTTAGCCCTCACAGCGCGTGTTATATTAACGATAACGGGTGCCATGTGCGTAGTATAGCGCCGTTTTGTCATATAGCGTTCTTTAAATGTCTGATATGCTCTAACTGTAACACAATGTTTCACTCCTTTTGGTCCGTTTGTCAGATATATGGGTTAACATGGCCTCAGAATATTCCTCAGCGAAACTGAGGAACCCATTTTGAAATTCAATTAAATTTTGTTTCTACATTGTCCATTCAGTTTGAAAAAGAGCATTTACTTTATATTGGAAAAAGTGAAACTGAAATGAGAAGGGTCCGCAAAAGCCAGATTCATTTGTTGCAGAATGAGACCATACACCAGCACATCTGTGACTTTTGAGGATGCCTTGCCTCTTTGCCTTGGTGAATTATATAACACTGGATTGAAGCAAAATCACAGTGTACTGGGATGGGATGTAGAGCTATAATACTGCTGTAGAGAAATCCATTTAATTATTGATATGGAACTACTAAGGGTGAAAATACATAGAATTTGATTTGGTCACAAATCGAATATCGCTACTTCCCCATGAACTTGAGCAAGGTTGAAATGTAAAGTGAATTTGCAATGAAAAACAACATCCGCAGTCAAAGCTATAATGTGACTTCAAAAGGCTCAAAATACGGCACAGAAGTCATTAGTAGTATGGACTACTTTTACAATACTTTTATAGTGCTATTTGTCATTTTGGAGCTTGAAAACACCAGTCCTCATTCAGTTGCGACTATATTCACCTATACATTTAAACCTTTTGCATTCTAAAGAAATAAGTCAGTCATGCAGATTTTAAATGATGAGTGCGAGGAAAGAAGATAATTTGTCATTTGATTAAACTGCCTCTTTAAAGGAGAACTCCAGTCAATTTTAACATTGATCTAATTTTTTTTGTACATTTGGAGTGCTGTCAGTACACACAAAAACGTCAAAAATCGGTGTTGCCTTCTACACCGTGTTAACGTCTTTTTAAAATTCTCACCCTGTTGACTTCAATGGGGCATGTAATAAACCTGCTTTCAGCCTCTTAACATCCTTCATTTGTCATTACAAGTGCACAGCCATGTGTGTTGTGGTATTAAGAGTGACCACAGTTTTAATTAATAGTGTAAATGAATGAGTTATTAACTGCAACGATAATAATAATAATAATAATAATAATTAATTACATTTATATAGCACTTTTCTCGGCACTCAAAGCGCTTTACCAGGCCTCACTAACACCTCCAGCAACCTGGCTTTCTCAGAAGGTCTCCCATCCAAATACTTTGCAAGCTCAGCCCTGCTTAGCTTCAGTGGGCAACCAGTTTTGGGCTACAGGGTGATATGGCTGCTGGACTGGTTATCACTCATGACTATCACTCATGATTATCTGTGTATCAGTTTGATTATCTATGTATTAGTTAAGCATGTGTTAATCCATATTAGTGCACTTGTATTGTATTTTGTGGAAACTGTTTGAGGATTTTTTTAATAGATCACTTTTTTATATATATTCAGCCATGTATCATTATATGGCTGAACAGCTGATGCAAATGATTACACGCCAATGTGCATTGGCCTGTTTAGTTTCACTCAAAGTAGATAGGCCTCTCTAGCAAGATTCCTATTTGACGTTCTCAACTCCACCAAATAACCAAATGTTTCTGACCCCTAGCTTTTGAACTATAGTGTATGAGATCAACCCATTCATTTCTTATCATCCATCATGTTTTGTCTGATGTGACTGGAAGTATAAGAAGTGCTTACCAGAAGGACCAGCCGTAGTCCCATGTGTGCGGCCTCCAGTCCTCTGGTCCCAAACTGACTGTGATCTGGAAAACTTGTGTGTACATCATGTGTGCCACCATCCCCAGAAGACCTGTTGAGGAATCAACAAATGCAGTTGTTGATTTCTCATACTGTTGTTGCTCATTGGATATAAATAAATTTGTCATTATTTATTCACCCCATGTCATTCCAAACCTGCATGACTTGCAACTGATCATTGAATCTGAGTTGAAGATATAGGGATAGATATTCTTTTCTTTCTTTGATAAGTTAAAAGCCTATTTTTATTTTATCCAAATCCATGTTTAACCACTGTCAGCTAACACTGTCATCTCTCTCTCTCTCACACCCATGATGCACTGGACACATCTCATTCCCAAATCAATGTGTGTCAAGTGTGAAATTAATATTATAAAACAAGCTATTAAATATCAAATATTTCCAGGGTTTGAGTCAGGTTACTACTTTAATAACGTAAACTTCTGTTATTGTACATCACACGCATCACACACATGACCAGTGTCGGCCAATAGTGAACCTACACGTGACGTAGCTCTACGCTATCACACTACGTTAACTGACTAGAGGCCCATAGAGTAGGAAGTGAACAGTTGAAATAAAGTCGTTATTTTTGTTTGTTTTTGCGCACAAAAAGTATTCTCGTCGCTTGATAAATTTAAGATTGAGCCACTTTTTGAGGACGGCAAGTTTCAATTCCTCAAGAAGCCTATGGACAAGTATGCAGGAGTGATCCAGCTCTCAGATTTCATCAAAAATATCTTAATTTGTGTTCCGAAGATGAACGAAGGTCTTACGGGATTGGAACAACAAGAGGGTTACTGTCAGAATTTTCATTTTTGGGTGAACTAACCCTTTAAATCTGGGATCCCCGGGATGCCCTGGGACTCATGAGTGGATGCTTGGCGCGCATGGCGTTAACAAAGGATTCCCGTAGTGGAAGTTAACTTACGCAATACGAGAGAACCTCTCGTAAAAGAATGTATCGGTTACATAACATAACCTCGGTTCTCTCTAGAAGAGGGAACAAGTATTGCGTAACCGGCCGTGCTCGCGCCATGAGCGACTTTCATGAGCGCCATGAGCCCCGCTTATATACGCTAAGCCACGCCCATTCTGGCGGGCTAAGACGTGATGAGGGCGCGGCATCACTCCAGGCTCAGTGGTAGGCTGCTGCGGTTGCCGCAGGGCAGCCAACGAGCACACTAGACAGCCTGCTCTAGGTCTGCAAGCTGCTGCACTGCGTTGACAATGAATACAAAATTAAGGATAATTTTTTGGCTTCAATATCTCAAAGATTAATCTTTCAAGGAGCGTAAGCTAACTTACGCAATACTTGTTCCCTCTTCTAGAGAGAACCGAGGTTACGTTAGGTAACCAATACGTTTTAAAAATATATATATATATATATATTTTAAAATGTAATTTATTTATTTGATGGTAAATCCATGATGGAGTTTTCAACATCATTAGCCAACCTGATCCTTCAAAAATCATTCTAATATGCTGATTTGGTGCTTATCAATGTTGAAAACGGTTGTGCTGCTTTATTTATTTGAACTTTATTTTGATCAATTTAATGTGTCCTTGCTGAATATGTTTTTTTTTTTCTTTTAAGAAATTGTATTGATTCCAAACTATTAAACGGTAAAGAATAACTGGAAATGAAAAATAAATAAATACATAAATTAATATTTTGTCTGTTACAAGAAACAGTATTTTGTCATTTAAAAGTTCTATCAGCACTGTTACAAAATCAGTATACTTGAAAATTACAGATTTTGAATGACAAAATTTCAGCAGGGACTAACAAAAAAAGCCCTAAACTTTCTATTATCACCATCATTTGTGACTGTGGTGAGATCAAACAGGAGAACAAGGCCGTGTTTCTTTGTATGGGTGATAAATGTAATGAAGTAATGCGCAATTAGTTTCTCTAAGTGTGAGTTGGGGACAAGAGTGTAGGCCTACCTGACAGCACGGTGAAGACTGCGGCGAAGGCGTTCAGTTTGAGTCCATCGATCACGTTACTGGAGTGAAAAAGCTCCAGGCACATCAGACTGAAGCCAACGACCAGCAGCATGATGTATAGCACCTCAGACACAACTGACAACCAAAGGACACCTGCAATACACACACATGCACACTGGTGAGCAAAGTGCTCTGTTGACCCATAATTCTCTGTCATTATTCACACGGTCAGATTCAAGTGGAAATTTAACAACTCCCCCCTGCATATAAAATGAACATGCATTGGGAACATTTCTGCCTAGTTCTTCTTTACATTGAGTTCAATTTGCAAAGTGCAGATAGGTGTTTTGAGTTCACTATAAGTAAAAATCTTATAATATGAGCATTATCTATAAAATCTACAGTATATGAGAATTATCTATAATAACTACTCCATGAAAAAGAACACATTACAAGTCTAATTTAAACCTGACAATAGTTTCAGGGTTTTGAAAAATGAAAAACGTCTCGGTTACGTATGTAACCCTCGTTCCCTGAGTAAGGGAACGGAGACGTTACGTCAGAAGTGACGGAGATTGGGGGTTTCGCATAGAAAGCCAATCCTCTTCGAGTATTAAAACACGAGCCAATGGCATGCAATGCCTTGGGGCTGCGGAAATTTGCATAGCGTACTCCGCCCTACTCCGTGAGTATAAAAGGAGGAAGTGAACGCAACCGCAGTATGTCTTCGCTGAGGAGCCAAGACTGAACTCGGCCTCTACCCAGCGATACAGCAGAAGTGGCAGGGAGACGTAACGTCTCCGTTCCCTTACTCAGGGAACGAGGGTTACATACGTAACCGAGACGTTCCCTATCGTAGTCACTTCGAGTTACGTCAGAAGTGACGGAGATTGGGGGTCTGTGCCATCACGCCATCTTCAAGCTGTCTTCCAGTGCCCTGCGAAAGACTGAACCCCCGAGCCTTACCTCTTTTTTTTTTTTTTTTTTGGGGATCCGACTTTGACACAGGATTACCAAGGTACACTGGGAAACATATCCCGAAGGGGACATGCTACCAGCTGCCTACCGAAGGGAGGACTTAAGAATACACATATGGCCACATAGGGACACATATGGAACACTGGAGTACCAACCGCAGGTGGCTACTGATTTAAACTCCAGGGGTGGCAGATGGCTTGCCAAGGGAAGACACATGCTCAGAGAGGCTTACAGTGGATAATACACATGAGACGGTTACCATGGGGAACCGTGCGCATGGAGGCACCTAGCTAGCATCCAGAGCCACGCAGTGGTGCCCGCATCGTCGGTGCTGGAGGACTCAAGACTTCAAAGGAAGAACTGAGGAATATCGCACTTATCCAGTCCGGGGAGTGGAGTGGCGAGCAAGCGAAGACACCTGAGCGGATCCAGAACTGGCCGAAACGAGTACGTGAGAGGATACCGGCTCAATTCGCAGATTATAGAATCTGGCGAAGGTGTTGGGTGTCGCCCAGCCTGCAGCTCTGCAGATGTCTGTTAGCGAGGCGCCGTGCGCTAAAGCCCAAGAGGAGGCTACACTCCGAGTGGAATGGGCCGTCACACCAAGGGGGCACGGAAGGCCTTGCTGCTGGTAAGACAAAGCAATGGCATCCACTATCCAGTGGGACAGCCGTTGCTTTGAGAGAGCCCTTCCCTTCTGGCTCCCTCCATGACAGACAAAGAGCTGGTCTGAGGTCCTGAAACACTGCGTTCTGTCGACATAGGTGCGGAGAGCACGTACCGGACAGAGCAGTGCCAAGGCTGGGTCTGCCTCCTCCGGGGGCAGCGCTTGCAGGTTCACCACCTGGTCCCGGAAGGGAGTGGTGGGAACCTTGGGCACATATCCAGGCCGGGGTCTCAGGATCACGTGAGAGTAAGCCGGCCCGAACTCCAGGCACGCTTCGTCAACGGAGAATGCGTGCAGGTCCCCCACCCTCTTGATGGAGGCCAATGCAACCAGGAGTGCTGTCTTCATGGACAGAAACTTTAACTCTACTGATTGCAAAGGCTCAAAGGGATGCCTCTGCAGAGCACTTAAAACTACCGAGAGGTCCCAAGAGGGTACGAGGGGAGGACGAGGCGGATGCAGCCTCCTCGCTCCCCTCAGGAACCTGATGACCAGGTCGTGCTTCCCTAAGGACTTACCTTCCACTGCTTCATGAGAAGCGGCAATGGCCGCGACGTAAACCTTAAGGGTGGAGGGCGACAGCCTGCGCTCCAACCCCTCTTGCAGGAAGGAAAGCACGATACTGATCGAACATCTCCGGGGGTCTTCTCCGCGAGAAGAGCACCAATTGACGAAGAGGTTCCACTTCAACGCATAAAGGTGTCTCGTGGACAACGCTCTTGCGGAAGTGATGGTTGCCGCCACCGCAGGTGGCAGCGAACTCAAACCTGCCTCGTCCCGTCCAGGAGCCACACGTGCAGCCTCCAGAGATCGGGACGAGGGTGCCACAGAGTGCCCCGTCTCTGAGAGAGTAGGTCTTGTCTCAGAGGAATAGGCCAAGGAGGTGCTGCCGCGAGGAGCATGAGATCGGAGAACCACGTCTTGGTGGGCCAGTAGGGGGCTACCAGCAAGACCTGCTCCTCGTCCTCCTTGATCTTGCACAACACCCGTGCAAGGAGGCTCACTGGGGGAAACGCATACTTGCGTGGGCCCCGTGGCCAGCTGTGCGCCAGCGCATCCGAACCGAGAGTGCCCCAGGTCAGAGAATAAAACTGGGCGCAGTGGGCTGAGTCCCGGGAGGCGAACAGATCTATCTGTGCCTCCCCGAACTCTTTCCAGATCAGCTGGACCGACTGGGGATGGAGTCGCCACTCGCCGGAGATAGGGCGGACCCGAGACAGCTCGTCGGCTGCCCAGTTCCGGTCTCCAGGAATGTGAACTGCACGAAGGGACCTCAGGTGCTTCTGACTCCATATCAAGAGGTGGCGGGCGAGCTGCGACAACCGGCGCGAGCGTAGACCCCCCTGGTGGTTGATGTACGCTACAGCCGTAGTGTTGTCTGAGCGGACAAGCACATGCTGGCCCTTGAGCAACGCTCTGAAGCGGTGCAGGGCGAGCCGTACTGCCAGCAGCTCGAGGCAATTGATGTGCATGAGGCGCTGGGCCCCCGTCCAGGAGCCGGCGGCTGCATGCCCATTGCACATGGCACCCCAACCCGTGGTAGATGCATCCGTGGAGACGATGAGATGCCTGGAAACTCGCTGAATAGGGACGCCCGTCCGTAAAAAGCTGAGGTTCGACCACGGGAAGAAGGTTCGCCGGCATGTCGGAGTCACTGGGACTCGGAGCGAGCCGCGATGCCATGCCCACCTCGGGACTCGATCGCGAAGCCACAGCTGAAGCGGTCTCATATGAAGCAAACCGAGCGGCGTTGCCGCGGCCGCGGATGCCATATGCCCCAGGAGCCTCTGAAAAAGTTTCAGTGGAACCGCACTCTTGCCCTCGAACTGACGAAGACAAGTCAGCAGTGAGTGCGCGCGCTCGATCGTGAGCTGCGCGGACATGGCGACCGAGTCTAACTCCACGCCGAGAAAAGAGATCCTCTGCACGGGGCAAAGTTTGCTCTTTTCTCGGTTGACCCGAAGGCCCAGATGGGCTAGGTGCCGGAGCACCAAGTCTCTGTGTTCGCAAAGCTGAGCTCGAGAGTGTGCTAGTATCAGCCAGTCGTCGAGATAATTCAGGATGCGAACCCCGTGTTCGCGAAGGGGAACAAGGGCTGCCTCGACGATCTTCGTGAAGACGCGAGGGGACAGAGCTAACCCGAATGGGAGAACGGCGTACTGAAATGCCTGGCCCTCGAAGGCAAACCGAAGAAACGGTCTGTGTCGAGGTAAGATGGACACATGGAAGTACGCGTCCTTCAGGTCGATCGCTGCAAACCAATCCTGATACCGAACACATTCGAAAATGCGTTTGGCCGTGAGCATTTTGAACGGTAGTCGATGGAGAGAACGGTTCAAAACGCGCAGGTCCAGGATCGGTCGTAACCCACCGGTCTTCTTGGGGACAATGAAGTAGGGGCTGTAAAACCCGGACTCCACCTCGGCTGGAGGGACCGTCTCGATTGCACCCTTCGCCAGCAGGGTCGCAATCTCCGCTCTCAGGACTGGGGCATTGCCACCGACTATCGTGGAGCGAACTCCCCTGAAACGGGGAGGAGACCGTGCGAACTGAATCGCGTAGCCGAATCTGATCGTTCTGATGACCCAGCGGGATACCCCGGGAAGCGCTAGCCAGGCTTCCAGGAAGTGAGCCAACGGGGTCATGTGAACCACAGACGTCCCCCCGGAGGGGCAGCGTGGCGGGTCGACTGGCACGCGTGCAGGGGTTACCCCGCTCGGATGCGTCGAAGCCCGCTCCCCGACAGAAGGGACCAGGGAAAGCGGAGCGTTCCACGGGGGTCCGTTCTGCCGGGGGTCTGGCGAGAGAGGGGGAAGGGATTGGTGTAGCCCGGGGACGACACACGCACCCTTCCGCGCCCTCCGAGACAGAGAGGAGTGAGTGGGCCGACACCCTGGGGCATCGGGGGCACTCACTCCAGTCTGTGAGCTCAGTGAGGATGTCAAGTCTTTCTTTAACCAGTTCAGGGTGCTGCCCACCCGTGGGTGAGCAGCGGGGAGCTGAGAACAAAAGATTCTCCCCCGGCCCTCCACCGGGGGAAGGAGGGGGCCTGCTACCGCCTCCTGTGAAAGACTCGAGATCGTCACTGAGCGGCCCGTGTCAGGATCTTCGCTTGGCCTGGCGTTTAGCGGGGCGAGCGGCCTGAGGGGGCTGTGACGCCGGCCTGCGGCCTCCTCGACGCCGGGGCCCGGGTGAAGGCTGCTGCTGGGGCCGGGCGGGAGGGAGGGGAGCCGCAGGGGGGCGTCCTCGGCGGCGAGCAGGGGGAGGCGCCTGTGCCGACGACTGGGTGGAGGCAGCAGCTGGTCGTCGGGGCAGGATGTGTTTGATGGCCTCCGTCTGCTTCTGGGCGGTGGAGAACTGATGGGCGAAGTCCTCGACCGCACCGCCGAAAAGGCCAACCTGGGACAGCGGAGCGTCGAGCAGACGAGTCCGCTCAGCGCTCCGCGTATCCGACAGGTTGAGCCACAGATGACGCTCCTGAACCACGCTAGTGGCCATCACCTGACCAACGGCGCGAGCAGCCACTTTCGTTGCCCGGAGAGCAAGGTCAGTGGCGGACCGCAGTTCTTTGAATGCCGTCGTGTCAGTCCCGCCCTCGTGCATGTCTCTGAGCAACTTCGCTTGGAAGACCTGCAAAGTGGTCATAGCATGCAGAGCGGAGGCCGCCTGTCCCGCCGCTCTGTAGGATCGCGCCGCCATAGCAGACGAGAACCCACAGGCTTTGGATGGGTGCTTAGGAGGACCACGGGTGGAGGCGCTCTGTGGACACAGCTGCATCGCAACAGAGCGCTCCACCGGGGGCATCCCAGTGTACCCACGGGCGGCCCCGCCGTCGAGGGGGGAAAGGCGGGGGAGAGATCGCGCTCTCGAGTGGACAAAGGAGCCCCCCAAGAGCGCGACAACTCCGCATGCAGCTCGGGGAAAAAAGGTATTGGAGTCGGCCGTGGCTTCGCAGCGGCAGCCTTGTCCAAAAACCAATTATCCATCCGTGAGAGGTCGGGGCAGGATGGAGGTTTCCATTCTAGCCCGATACTCCCAGCGGCTCGAGACAGCATGGCCGTCATCTCGGGATCTGACGCGGACAACGCTGGGACTCCCGAAGGAGGCAACGCAGCCGGATCTTCCTCTCCCGAGGAATCAAGCCCGCCTAGTGATGCTGTGATAGACATCGCATCATCATCTGGGGCGCTGCTCGAAGCAGCCGGTGCCGCCGAAGAGACAACCGACCGAGTCGAACTAGCGCCCGCTGGCTCACGCACTGAGGCGGGAGGTGTGGCCCGAGGAATCGTCGGGGCTTTATCCCACACCGTCACCGTTAGATCGCCCGGTCCCCGGGTCGACGGGCCCCTCTCGTGAAGGAAGCCGATCGAGTAGGGGGGACCGGGGCTCTCACTCTAGTGAGATCATTGAGCCGCGACCTCAGTGTGGAGATGGTCATGGTCCCACAGAAGGAACATGAGTCATCCACGAACGCTGCTGCTGCATGCTGAATGCCCAAGCAAACAAAGCAGCGTTCGTGACCATCAGATGACGACAGAAATCTACCACATCCAGAAGGGCACGGGCGAGCCATCTTTAAAAAGACGTGCCGCGTGCAGCTCTTTTACAGAGAGGAGAGAAATTCACTCTTTCAGCGCTGAGGCTACCAGGGAGAAGCGCAAAGTCTGGCAAACCACTGCACAGATCGCAGGCAATGCAGAATCTCGCTGGGTACCGCCGTCACACCAACACTGAAGAGGACGCTCGTCTCGAAGAGTCTTGAATCAGCTTTGAGGAGTGAAGAGGTTCTCTTGGCTCCGAAGCGAAAACATACTGCGGTTGCGTTCACTTCCTCCTTTTATACTCACGGAGTAGGGCGGAGTACGCTATGCAAATTTCCGCAGCCCCAAGGCATTGCATGCCATTGGCTCGTGTTTTAATACTCGAAGAGGATTGGCTTTCTATGCGAAACCCCCAATCTCCGTCACTTCTGACGTAACTCGAAGTGACTACGATAGGGAACAATGAAACAATATGACTTAAAATGAATAAATATCGCAAGTTATAAAGTCAGAATGGTGAAATATATATAAACTCGCAATTCCGACTTCATAACTCGCAAGTCTTACCACTTTATCATACAATCATGAAAAAATAAAGTCCGAATTGTGAGATAAAAAGTTGCAATTACTGTCGTCTGGTGCTCAGTTATACAATACAGTGGTATAAATTACTTCATGAATAATGCCTAGATTTTTATTCTACTCTTTAATCTTATAAATAAAAATGTTTTTTTTTTTTTTTTTACAATTTTTGTAATCATTGTGTTAGGTTAGCTACCGGACTGTGGCCAGGAGAAAAGTATGTTTACTTTACAATGCGTGGCCATGACATAAGGATGTCGCTACATGTCACCTCAACAAAATGATCTTGTGGCCATAACATCACATTTTTCAGGATTTAAGAACAGCATTTATTTGAGAATTATATTTACTAAATCTAAATCTTAAAAAACAATCTTTATTGTCACTTGTTTTGATCAATTAAATGCATCCTTGCTGAATAAAAGTGTTTCTTTAATCTGAACCCAAAGTTTTGAAAAGTACTGCAAAAAAATGGAAAAATGCAAAATAGAAGCACTTGGACTGTAATGGTCCTGTAATGGTGCTGTCTACTCCAAAAATGAGTAAACAAATGAGTTCTTACTAGAAGTCAGCTTTCTCATTAGTGGTAATTTTATTAAACTTGACATGACAGCAACATCTGCAATTTGAAAAACAAAGCTGCACTCGTGTCTCAAAAGGATGCTTAATCTTTATTTATTTTATTTCATTTTTATGTATTTTTGAGAGATTAGGGAAACATCTTCTCTCTATCAGACTGACTCAAGGGTGTTTCCATAACAGCAATCAGCTCCTTCTAATTAGCAGAATTCCGAATCGGCCCGGAGCTTCCTCAAAGGACTTGGCAGAGACAGCAGGAGTTGTTTTGGTCTAAGATCATATTGCTATTTTGCTTACTTTCAACGTTCGGAGTCTTGTCTGCGGCTACACCTGTGCTACCCATTATCCACAGTGAAATTTGGCTTTTTTGTCTGGGGTTTCCCGACACATTCTTTTACACACATTGTAAATAAAAGATGACAGACTTTGAGAAACTCAGGTGAGAGTGAGTGATTAAAGCATCTTAACCTGACGGCAATGACGGCATTATTCAATATTAATGTCTGGAGGCTTTGACTTCAAGAGTTCAAACACATCGGGGCACCTTTGAAAGTCTGCCCTACATTTTCAGAGGCAAATATAAACAGTGTCAATTTTCTCTAGGGTTTCTTGAGGCAGAGAAAAGCATTGTTTGAGGCCTTGA